ACCTTACTAAAGTACTCAAGCTATCTAATCTCTGACCATTGCCGCCCGTTGCTTTACCGAGATGCAAGAACATCACTATGTTGGCCTCTGTTGGGTCGACAACATATTCCACCAAAAAAGCTGAATGCTTGTTTGTACTCACACAGAACACACTTTGGTAAATGTGGTATGAACAGAGTAAACCCTTAGCATACCTGGACAAAGATGGAAAATCCAATGGTATCACTTGTATAAGATACCTTACATCCATCACCTTTCAACCCAGCACACTTCTCATTAATCATACACACTCATTAAGAAAAATATGCGACACACTCACTCTAGGTATACGGATTCATAAGGCCCGCATACCCCTACATCCATCCCGTTTTATATACACTTAACACCAACTCATTTTCAACGCTCCTCTGTGAGGTAGTCACTCCTCTGTGGGGAATCTGTTGTCATGTCAACAGCACCGCACTAATTCCGAATTGAAGACTTTACTCTGTAACAGTCCAGTAGCGCAAATTTCGGCTTAAACCACAGCCACCACGTGCTCCCCGAAGGGCCCTCTCCAATAACAGGGACAAGACAAACTCCAAAACTCAGCTCTTCGGACTATCGGTTCCCTTAGTACCAGATTATATGATTCAAATAATTCCAAGGAAAGACCGATGATTCATTTGATCAACGCCAGTTTATAGTTCCGGCAGACTAGAGGTATTGGTAGCATTTCTTTTCCCTGAGATTGCAATAACACCAAGTTGGGGAAAGTTCATCAAGGTAACATGCCTCGAGGGAATCTTAATACAGAAAGTCATGTTGAACTATAACAGAACGAGACAATTATTGAATGTTGGACTTTTTCCAGGCCCTGCCCAATGCATCAAGCTTTCTTTCGCACTTATCAACTGTATCATAGATCTTCAAATGTCATGTCAAAATTCGTCTCATTAGACGACCTGTGCCTTTCCATCGAGATTTTTAAATTAGAGAGAACTTCCGCTTTTAGATTACATTTATTGGTGTATTGGCAACAACTTTGATTACTTTAGATCTCTAATCGGCAAAGAGCTTTGTTAAGAACCTTTTTGCACTCTTAATTTCACACGCTTGTATGCTTACACATGTATAAAAAACGATAAAAACCTGTAAGAGAACTTATTTTTTACTCTCTGCCGATGTAGGCTTTAGATCATCGAAACGCAATGAGCTCTCAAATGAGCTCACTTATACTCTTTCTTTCACTCATACGTATGCTCACACATGTATTAAAACAAGCAAAACCTGCCAGAGAACTATTTTTTTACTCTCTGCTCTTCGCTGCTTTAGATCCATCAAGGCCACATTCCACATGACTTTTCTGGAAACATAAATTGATATCGTGGTGCTTTTAGTTTAAAGTGCTAAAGTTTTTATATAAATATTTAGCTATGAGGTTTGTTAAACCTGAGAATAAATATAAGCATAGTACAGCTGGAGCCTGATTTCCTGATTTTAGTAAATTGTACCTTCTTGAAAGAATATAAAAGAAAATATGTTTATTATGTCGGGCCTAAGATTGGTACTAATTAGGCTACATAAGATTAAACAAATATATAGGTATGTTTAGACGTTTTCGTCACATTCGGCCATACTAAACATTATAGATTCTAAATATTCATCTCATTAGATGAAAAGTTTCACCCTTAGAGTTCTTAAGTACTTCAGACCATTTCTAGAAACGCTATTGATATGGCGGTCCTTTAAGTATAAATAAATGATACAAGTTAAGTTATGCTTATTTAGGAACTTTAAAGCGATAAAGTTTATATACATGTTTAGCTACATACTTTTATTTCCCACTATACACCTGTATAAGTAGCTCTATTTATTTCGATAAAAGTGTAGGTGTATTAGAGGTTGTATGTTTTTTTAAAGGAATATTTTACCTAATGCCAGGTGCACGCAATTTGTATGTTAATTTTTTGTAAACCACTCAAAAAATATACATACATGTACATTAAAACATACATAAACAAATGCATACAAGTATACGTATTTATAAGTAAGTAAACTAAATATATGTACATACACTGGTACATGTAAATAAGTTGGGGAAAACATCCTGCAGTTCGAGTAGAATATTGTCCCAGTTAAGCTAAGTTTCTAGTTATATTTATACCCTCCACCACCATCAGTGGTGATAGAGGGTATATATAAGTTTGTCATTCCAACAAAGTTAAGACCCAACAAAGTATATATATTCTGGGTCCTTATGAAACTCTGAGTCGATTTAGCTATGTCCGTCTGTCTGCCTGCCTAAAACACGCTCACGTTAAAACTAAGAAAAGGACATCAACCAAATTCACCCAAAATATTTATTATTATCCTAAGCAGCTTGGTATTGAAAATCAGAAAAATCGGTAAAAATTTGAGTAAAAATTTCAGACTACCTCGAAAAAAATTACTTTTTTTCCTAATTCTGTTGAAGTTTTCTCTGAAACTATCAAAGATATTGCGATGAATTTTGTCACACATTATTTTTTCAAGGCAGTGATTAATTATGTTGAAAATCTTTACAATCGATCCAATATTTCCCATAACCACCATACAAAGGTATATATTCGCGGAAATTAGTTTATCGTTGATAACTCACTCAAATATATCGGTATCAAAACAAAATTTTGTACAAGCAAATATAATATGAACAGAAATTATAATATTAACGTAGATCTCAGTTGATCCACAATTGGTCATAGCTCCCATATAAGGTCCACTTCCGAAAATCACCTAAACGCACATATTTCATTGATAAATAAAGCTATTGTGTACATACAAATCATTCTACTAAATTTTTTACAGATCGGACCATTATTGGTCATAGCTCCCATATAAGGCCCTCTTCCTAAAATCACTTAAAAGCACATATTTCATTGTCAAATAAAGCTATCTTGATAAAATTCGACACAAATATGTTTAGTCTAAATATGAATCGCTCTACGATATTTTTTCCGGATATGCCCATAATTGGTCATAGCTCCTATATAAGGTCCACTTCCGAAATTCACTTAAACGCATATATTTCATTGAATTCAAAAGCTATAGGGATAAAATTCGGCACAACTATGTTTTGTGTACATACAAATTATTGTACCACTTTTTTCCCGGATCGGTAAATTATTGGTCATAGATCCCATATAAGGCCCATTTCCGAAAATCACTTAAATGCACATATTTCATTGTCAAATAAAGTTATTATGATAAAATTCGAAACAAATATGGTTTGTCTTTATATAAATCACTCTACGAAATTTTTTCCGGATAGGCTCCCATATAAGGTCCACTTACGAAAATCACCTAAACGCATATAGTTCTTTGAATAATAAAGCTATCGGAATAAAGTACGACTTGAATATGTTTTGTGAGCATATAAATCATTCCACGAAATTTTTTTCCGTATCGGTCCATAAGTTTTCTTAGCTCCCATATAAGGTTTACTTCTGAAAATCTCTTAATACCACTTAATTCGTTATTAAATGATTATATCCGGATAAAATTCGACACGAATATGTTCTGTATAGATATATCATTATATTAAAATGTTTTCGAACTGACCTATTAATATAAATTTTTCTGGACTTAATTAAAATTAGTTAAATGGGTTTTAATTAAAAATAGCTTGCTAGTGGAGGGTATTTAAGATTCGGCACAGCCGAATATAGCACTCTAACTTGTTTCTAATAAAAAAGCCAGATTATACTTACATTTAACTTCAATTTAAAAATATCAAAACATGGACTGGATTCTAAAGTTTAATACAGAGAAAAGTTTAAAGTGATTGCAACTCACTTGATTATTTGGGGATACTTAAGTAAATTTAAAATTTGTATTACAAAGAATATCTTGATGTCCAATGGATAATTTTACATAAATGAAAGTCAACCAAGCAGTTTGACATATGTAAAATAAACTACCCAACAAGTGGTACTTTAACTCCTTGTAAAACTGCTGGAATTTTGGCAACAAGCAAAACACTCTTCACACAGCAGGTGATTTTCTGCAAATAGACCAAAAGAACCAACAACAAGACAAATATAAAACTAAACTTATTTTTCTCTCATTGTCTTCCGGCTTCATTACAATAGAAACGTTTTTAGATTTTTGTTTATTTTTTCTGTTTTTTTTTTTTTTTTCAAACAAAGTCAAGTGTTTTTAGAAATTCATGAGAGGGGCAAGTGGCTGTTTTGTATATGGATATAAAAACAAGTAGCTGTCATACAGATATCCAGTAAATGTTTTCATTTTCGGCTGCTGTTTCCATTTACTGCTGTTTGTCTTAAATGTTCTGTTTAAAGGCAAGTGTTTTAACATGTAATTTAAATGGATGCTAAAAAACATACTAGATAAAATAGCTTTTTCTTCTTTTCAACGAAATAAAGATTAAAATCTGTTTCTGCTATATATACATACATAAGAATTAGGTTGTATTTCCATTTCCAGTGCTATTTAGTAGGAACGTTATTTAAAATGTCACAGCAAGTATTGTGTAGGAAGATAACGAAACTAGAACGAAATGAATTTTGGGAATTTGTTTATCTTTTACTCAACCTACGAAAAATTCAAAAGGTTAAAAGTCAAATTTGTTCTTCTATTTATAAATATTTATATTTCTAAGATATAAACAGATGCAAAGTTAAAAAAAGAATTCAACAGAACGCATACTTAATATTTATTTTAATTAAAATTAAATAACACTCATACGCCTCAAACAAAACATTTTTAAATCTCGAAACCTTTAACAATGAACATTCTATATTAACAAAATTGTTAGCCTTTTAGAAAGCTGTTTTATAAAATTCTTTAAATTTAAAAGTTTTAAATTTAAAACATTTGTTTATTTATTTTCCACTCTAACAGGAACATCTGTTATTATGGCATTTCGCTTTAAACTAAAAATATTTTATTTAATTTTTATTTTATGTACTTTTTACTTTATTTACCTTTCATTTTCGCTTTTTCCTGTTCTTTATTTTCAGGATATCGTGTGTCTGTAACATTTGCTGAACAAAAATCTATAGTGCCATGCAAGTGGATTTAAGAAAACATACAGCGGAAACACATTTTTGGATTGTAAGTATAACAAAAACAGAAAATATAATAAATATTTTAATTTAAAAATAATTTTAAATAGTTCATTATAGTCTATAGTCTAGTCTACAGTCTAGTCTATAGTCTAGTCTATAGTCTAACCTATAGTCAAGTCTATAGTCTAGTCTATAGTCTAGTCTATAGTCTAGTCTATAGTCTAGTTTATAGTCTAGTCTATAGTCTAGTCTATAGTCTAGTCTATAGTCTAGTCAATAGTCTAGTCTATAGTCTAGTCTATAGTCTAGTCTATAGTCTAGTCTATAGTCTAGTCTATAGTCTAGTCTATAGTCTAGTCTATAGTCTAGTCTATAGTCTAGTCTATAGTATAGTCTATAGTCTAGTCTATAGTATAGTCTATAGTCTAGTCTATAGTCTAGTCTATAGTCTAGTCTATAGTCTAGTCTATAGTCTAGTCTATAGTCTAGTCTATAGTCTAGTCTATAGTCTAGTCTATAGTCTAGTCTATAGTCTAGTCTATAGTCTAGTCTATAGTGTAGTCTATAGTCTAGTCTATAGTCTAGTCTATAGTCTAGTCTATAGTCTAGTCTATAGTCTAGTCTATAGTCTAGTCTATAGTCTAGTCTATAGTCTAGTCTATAGTCTAGTCTATAGTCTAGTCTATAGTCTAGTCTATAGTCTAGTCTATAGTCTAGTCTATAGTCTAGTCTATAGTCTAGTCTATAGTCTAGTCTATAGTCTAGTCTATAGTCTAGTCTATAGTCTAGTCTATAGTCTAGTCTATAGTCTAGTCTATAGTCTAGTCTAGTCTAGTCTATAGTCTAGTCTATAGTCTAGTCTATAGTCTAGTCTATAGTCTAGTCTATAGTCTAGTCTATAGTCTAGTCTAGTCTATAGTCTAGTCTAGTCTAGTCTATAGTCTAGTCTATAGTCTAGTCTATAGTCTAGTCTATAGTCTAGTCTATAGTCTAGTCTATAGTCTAATCTATAGTCTAGTCTGTAGTCTAGTCTATAGTCTAGTCTATAGTCTAGTCTATAGTCTAGTCTATAGTAGTCTATAGTCTAGTCTATAGTCTAGTCTATAGTCTAGTCTATAGTCTAGTCTATAGTCTAGTCTATAGTCTAGTCTATAGTCTAGTCTATAGTCTAGTCTATAGTCTAGTCTATAGTCTAGTCTATAGTCTAGTCTATAGTCTAGTCTATAGTCTAGTCTATAGTCTAGTCTATAGTCTAGTCTATAGTCTAGTCTATAGTCTAGTCTATAGTCTAGTCTATAGTCTAGTCTATAGTCTAGTCTATCGTCTATAGTCTAGTCTAGTCTATAGTCTAGTCTAGTCTAGTCTATAGTCTAGTCTATAGTCTAGTCTATATTCTAGTCTATAGTCGTAGTCTATAGTCTAGTCCATAGTATCTATAGTCTAGTCTATATCTAGTCTATAGTCTAGTCTTAGTCTAATTTCATATCTAGTCTATAGTCTTAGTCTATAGTCTAGTCTAGAGTCTAGTCTATATCCTAGGCTATAGTCTAGTCTATAGTCTAGTATATGTCTAGTCTTAGGTCCTAGTCTATAGGTCTAGTCTATAGTCTAGTCTATAGTCTAGTCTATAGTCGAGTCTATAGTCTAGTCTATAGTCGAGTCTATAGTCATCTAATATCTAGTCTATTTCTAGTCCATAGTCTAGTCTAAGTCTAGTCTATAGTCTATTCTATAGTCTATCTATAGTCTAGTCTAGTCTATAGTCGAGTCTAGTCTAGTCTATAGTCTAGTCTATAGTCTAGTCTAGATTCTAGTCCTATAGTCTATCCTATAGTCTAGTCTATAGTCCTATCTATAGTCTAGTCTGTAGTCTAGTCCTATAGTCTAGTCCTATAGTCTAGTCTATAGTCTAGTCATAGTATAGTCTATAGTCTAGTCTATAGTCTAGTCCTATAGTCGAGTCTATAGTCTATCTATAGTCTGTCTATAGTCTATAGTCTAGTCTATAGTCTAGTCTATAGTCTAGTCTATAGTCTAGTCTATAGTCTAGTCTATAGTCTAGTCTATAGTCTAGTCTATAGTCTAGTCTATAGTCTAGTCTATAGTCTAGTCTATAGTCTAGTCTATAGTCTAGTCTATAGTCTAGTCTATAGTCTAGTCTATAGTCTAGTCTATAGTCTAGTCTATAGTCTAGTCTATAGTCTAGTCTAGTCTATAGTCTAGTCTAGTCTATAGTCTAGTCTAGTCTATAGTCTAGTCTATAGTCTAGTCTATAGTCTAGTCTATAGTCTAGTCTATAGTCTAGTCTATAGTCTAATCTATAGTCTAGTCTGTAGTCTAGTCTATAGTCTAGTCTATAGTCTAGTCTATAGTATAGTCTATAGTATAGTCTATAGTCTAGTCTATAGTCTAGTCTATAGTCTAGTCTATAGTCTAGTCTATAGTCTAGTCTATAGTCTAGTCTATAGTCTAGTCTATAGTCTAGTCTATAGTCTAGTCTATAGTCTAGTCTATAGTCTAGTCTATAGTCTAGTCTAGTCTAGTCTATAGTCTAGTCTATAGTCTAGTCTATAGTCTAGTCTATAGTCTAGTCTATAGTCTAGTCTATAGTCTAGTCTATAGTCTAGTCTATAGTCTAGTCTATAGTCTAGTCTATAGTCTAGTCTATAGTCTAGTCTATAGTCTAGTCTAGTCTATAGTCTAGTCTAGTCTATAGTCTAGTCTAGTCTATAGTCTAGTCTAGTCTATAGTCTAGTCTAGTCTAGTCTATAGTCTAGTCTAGTCTAGTCTATAGTCTAGTCTATAGTCTAGTCTATAGTCTAGTCTATAGTCTAGTCTATAGTCTAGTCTATAGTCTAATCTATAGTCTAGTCTGTAGTCTAGTCTATAGTCTAGTCTATAGTCTAGTCTATAGTCTAGTCTATAGTATAGTCTATAGTCTAGTCTATAGTCTAGTCTATAGTCTAGTCTATAGTCTAGTCTATAGTCTAGTCTATAGTCTAGTCTATAGTCTAGTCTATAGTCTAGTCTATAGTCTAGTCTATAGTCTAGTCTATAGTCTAGTCTATAGTCTAGTCTATAGTCTAGTCTATAGTCTAGTCTAGTCTATAGTCTAGTCTAGTCTAGTCTATAGTCTAGTCTATAGTCTAGTCTATAGTCTAGTCTATAGTCTAGTCTATAGTCTAGTCTATAGTAGTCTATAGTCTAGTCTATAGTATAGTCTATAGTCTAGTCTATAGTATAGTCTATAGTCTAGTCTATAGTCTAGTCTATAGTCTAGTCTATAGTCTAGTCTATAGTCTAGTCTATAGTCTAGTCTATAGTCTAGTCTATAGTCTAGTCTATAGTCTAGTCTATAGTCTAGTCTAGTCTAGTCTATAGTCTAGTCTATAGTCTAGTCTATAGTCTAGTCTATAGTCTAGTCTATAGTCTAGTCTATATCCTAGTCTATAGTCTAGTGTATAGTCTAGTCCATAGTCTAGTCTAGTCTATAGTCTAGTCTATAGTCTAGTCTATAGTCTAGTCTATAGTCTAGTCTATAGTCTAGTCTATAGTCTAGTCTATAGTCTAGTCTATAGTCTAGTCTATAGTCTAGTCTATAGTCTAGTCTATAGTCTAGTCTATAGTCTAGTCTATAGTCTAGTCTATAGTCTAGTCTATAGTCTAGTCTATAGTCTAGTCTATAGTCTAGTCTATAGTCTAGTCTAGTCTAGTCTATAGTCTAGTCTATAGTCTATTCTTTAGTCTAGTCTATAGTCTAGTCTATAGTCTAGTCTATAGACTAGTCTATAGTCTAGTCTATAGTCTAGTCTATAGACTAGTCTATAGTCTAGTCTATAGTCTAGTCTATAGTCTACTCTATAGTCTAGTCTATAGTCTAGTCTATAGTCTAGTCTATAGTCTAGTCTATAGTCTAGTCTATAGTCTAGTCTATAGTCTAGTCTATAGTCTAGTCTATAGTCTAGTCTATAGTCTAGTCTATAGTCTAGTCTAGTCTATAGTCTGGTCTATAGTCTAGTCTATAGTCCAGTCTATAGTCTAGTCTAGTCTATAGTCTAGTCTATAGTCTAGTCTATAGTCTAGTCTATAGTCTAGTCTATAGTCTTGTCTATAGTCTAGTCTATAGTCTAGTCTATAGTCTAGTCTATAGTCTAGTCTATAGTCTAGTCTATAGTCTAGTCTATAGTCTAGTCTATAGTCTAGTCTATAGTCTAGTCTATAGTCTAGTCTATAGTCTAGTCTATAGTCTAGTCTATAGTCTAGTCTATAGTCTAGTCTATAGTCTAGTCTATAGTCTAGTCTATAGTCTAGTCTATAGTCTAGTCTATAGTCTAGTCTATAGTCTAGTCTATAGTCTAGTCTATAGTCTTGTCTATAGTCTAGTCTATAGTCTAGTCTATAGTCTTGTCTATAGTCTAGTCTATAGTCTAGTCTATAGTCTAGTCTATAGTCTAGTCTATAGTTTAGTCTATAGTCTAGTCTATAGTCTAGTCTATAGTCTATTCTATAGTCTAGTCTACTCTATACTCTTTTATAGTCCACTCCTATAGCCTAGTATTCGGGCTTATCTATGGTCTATAATCTAGTCTTTTCCATTTTAGTTTAGTCTAGAGTCAATAGCCGTCTAGTCCAATATCTGGTCTATCGTCCCGTCTATAGTCTAGTGAATAGTATATTGTCCAGTCTATAATATGTTTGATAGTCTTGTCTAAGGTCTACTCTAAAAGTCTATAATGTAATCTATGGTCTAGGTTTTTTGCATAACGGTCAGAGTTCGGTAAAAACATAGTTTTTGGTTTTGATATTTCTAAGTTAGGGCACTTTTAAGGTATTTGTTCTGTAAATACCATACCTTATCCATATTCTTTCTGCAACATATCATCTTTATTACATTATTTACTTAATAAGTTTTTTATCTTACCTACCAATCATTTGGCAATATAATGTCATAACTTTTAAGTAAATATGAAGTCTGAGGTTCAAAAGCAAAAAAAAAATTTAAAGAAATAACACCTACAACAAAAGCCACTACGAATCTAGTTCATC